TGCATATCACTCAACAGAGTTCTAAGTGGGAAGTTAGACAGCACGAGAGCTTGTCTCGGCAAACAGCTACTTAGCTCCTTCGAGGACTCGCTTACATTTATTACGAGCAGTAGCGAATAGCAACCTGTTATGACGAGAGCTGTCACGCTGGCATAACCTAAAATATTGGTTCCTATATACTATGACGGCAGAGCATGCTGGTGTGGACTATAGAGAGGACTTTGTTCTCACCTGGTTCAATTATCAATTGGGAGGTTGAAGATGTCAGTTCAAAGGGCGTCACGGAGAAAATTCGGTCCCAATTAGTGTGCCGGTAAAGGAAATAGGTCTTATGGATAGGGGTTTCCTCTTTAATGGATACTTGGAATGAAATATCAATAGCTACCAAAGAGTGGTCAGAGTTATCAAAAGCGAGAAGAGGAGGTAAGAAATAGATCCAGAGGAGAAGCCTATTGCTCCGTTTGGACAAGGAAATATGTAGGGACGTTCATGATTTGAGTAAGGGATTGGATAATGGAAACATTTAATGTCTGCATACCAGCAACTGATATTGCTGGTATGCAGACCAGATTAAAATGTTTCAGCTACGTGTCATTAAAGTTACCGAAGTCAAAGATGTTAGCAGATGGATGGAGAGAAAGAGCCTTTTCTATACTGCCAGCTATTGCGTCTTCCCAGCGGATTTATTTAACCTTTGCAATGAGGTGATCCACTGTTATGGTGACAGACAAAAAATATCTGCAAGAACTCCTAGACAAAATAGTAAAGACAAATAAGAATGAAATGATTTTAAGAAGACAGAAATCTATGGCTGTTCGAAAGAGGAATAGCTCAAGATATGAGCTACGAAACTGAGATCTCAAAATCGAGCAAGTACAGAAATTTAATTATCTGAGAAATGTCTTAAATGCTGCACGGAATTCCGAAGATGTATTGAAATAGTGAAAGAGTTCTTCCAAAAGTTGAAAAAAGTATTAAGAAACCGGAAATCTTTCGCAACTGTTGTGTCACTCCTTCTACATAGTAGTAAATACTGGACAATTTCTTCACTGATGAAGAACGGACTTGCCGCAACAGAGATGTGATTCTACAGAAGTTTACTGAGAATAACATGGACTGCGTATGTGAGTAATGAGGAAGGTTTAAGGAAAATGGCAATAAAAAGGACACTTGTATTTAGAATCAGAAAAAAAAAACAGTTGAAATTTCTGGGACGCATAATAGGTGAAAAGTGTGTGGAGAACCTGACCCTCACAAGACATAGTGAAAGCGATACAGATAGAGGTAAACAGCAATTACCTAATGTGATTGTGTAAATGGATGACAGAACAAGGACTGGAAAGGATAGTAAGCAAGCAAATATTACTTCGAACTAAGAAGGGTACGTAATTGTGGAGAGACATTATCGCCCACATTCTGAAAGAACATGGAACATAAAATAAGACTTAATTCCTTTTATTTCAACTGTTACCTTGAATAAAATCTCCTGTGCAGATAATGACTGTATTATACTGTTTGGAATATCAGGTTTGAGATATATTTTTATTTTGACTGTTCATTAATCAATATTATTCTAGCAATCTTTTATTTTGGACAAAACTTATTTAAAGCCGACCAAAATGCCTTTAGTTGCGCAGTCGTAGAATCTCGATAATGAAACGTGCGCTGACCACGTGAGGATAATCTTTCTGTCCCTAAATATCAACCTGCATCTGTAATACAAGCCACAAGAGTCGATTTTTCTCCATTTCTTTATTTTCTGTTACTAAAGAAACGAAAATTTGTCAGGAAATTATCTCTTCCTGCGTTATTTCCAAATTTTCTATATACCTGTAGCAAAGTTTTGCATTAGTTTTTAAATCGTTCCAACCATCCGACCGATTTGTAAAAAAAAATCCAACAAACGAAAATAAAGCATAGTGAATATCTGGTTAACAGGGGTCAAAATCAGAAAAAAAAGTAGGTGCTAGGTCAAGAGTTAGGTGTTTTACAAAACAGGTGTGAACCACTTGTGTAGTCCATATACCGGGTGTAACAGCAAAATTGTCTAAAACGTGTAAAAGCAAAATTGTTCAATTGCTAGCTTGCTTAAGATTTGAATCTTAGAAATGATTAAAGATATCTAACTGAATATATAATTACTCTCCAAGCTTAACAAAAGAATCCAGTTTTCCTCTCTACTCTACCTTCTTTTTAAAAAATTTCCACCATTCTCTTGATGGTTATTGAATGCACTTTAAAATGGAAGCCAGAGTATGAATGTTGGTACCATTATTGAAAGCCTGAATTCTTTTTTTCCGCTCACCATTGCTCAGTTGAGAAGACAAGTGTGGCTGACATAAAACAATTTTAACCCCTTCTCTTTCTAGCTGAATAACCTAAGGGTTTTTCAATGATTCTTGAGACAAATGTTATCAAGATGCTTAAACGTCTTATCTGACAACCTGGAAAAAAAACTCAATTAGTTTAGTGTGTTTTTTTTTGTTTTTGTTTTTGTTTTTGTTTTGTTTTTTTGTTTTTTTCGATATTAAACATTTTGTGGGATGGACAATTATGTTGTGACACGATTTGGACAATGTTACTGTTGCAACCGGTATATGCCAATTATTGCACAGTCATGCTGTATCAGGTTCGTACTCTTGCTAATATTTTGCTGAAGGGGCTGCGTCTTTCCAGGTCTTCTCTTTCTCCATCGCCTGTCCACCTGCCTCTGCCAGAGTGCTTTCACCAACGTCAAGGACAAAGAGTATATATTAGCTTGACTATCATCTTCTGGTACGTTTGACAACTGGTACGTTTGACAACTGAATGAAAAATAGACATTCAATTTCAGATTTTGACTCTTCTTGCAACTTTTCATCACCTCTCAGTCGCACATAGATTGTTTATTCTTTTAAATACTTTTTTCTCCCTGGTATAGCTTAACAGAGAAAATATAAAAAATCACAATATTGATTATTTTCATTCTTTACGGTTCTACATGTTTCAACTACTGTTCTCTCAACATCTTTGCTAAAAATGTTCGAAGACAACGATATTAAAATAAGGGTTCAGATTAACATCATGATTATCAGGGAAGGGGCTCCTACTTTTACATTCTAACTATAATGTAGAATCAATAAGAAAAACTAATCAAATTTATATAAAATAGGAACGGGATATAATCTAATTTGTAAAAAATATTTTTTAAAGTATCTCATCAAATATTTATATAATTGCATTAACCGAATTTTGTTTTACTTCACAGAGAAGTCATTTTTCAAACACGAACATTTATCTGAACAATCAGCAAATTAATATTATCAGAATACACGAGTAACAAAAGAAACAACCTAATAAATTCGAAGCCAAAGTTTTGTAGAACAGCAAGGAAGAAGGGTCCAGTTTAATTACAGTGTAAATATTGTAATTAGAATCCCCACTAAAACATTAAAATAATTATTTTCAAAACTCACAATTTTCCAAAAGAAACAATGTCTTATTTATTGGCAAAACAGTTCACCTCGATGTGGTGTAATGGTTAGCAAGCTTGTCTCGCTTGAACAATTACGCCTGAGTACTGATTTGATCTCACTGGGTTCCCCATAATTTCGGCCTTGTGCCACATTTTATTATTGAAAGAACTTAAGATTACTTCGGAAATATCTGTTCAGTAATTTTGGACGTTTATGTATTATCAGAATCTTACCACTTTTTCTATCAAAGATTTCAACAATTTATTTTATTAGGAATGCCACAAAGATTATGCCAAAAGAATTAAATGTTACATGTTTTGCACGTTTTATCAACACATATCGCATGAAGGGGCTAGTATAATAAACTTTGACATTTTGGACAACAGAAATTCTGGCCAGAGAACACTGGACATCCGTGCGTATGTTTTCGTTTATCACTGGGTCGGGTACTTCTGGGTAAACATTACTACACAAGTAAGTGAATTAGATTTTTACTGTGTTCCCTATACGCATGGCCTTGTACCAAAATAGACTAAGTTTAGTAAGTTGCAACTACCTAGCACAGGACAAAATTCACCGGAAAATTTTTAATAATTTCTTAAAATTAATAATTCACTTATACTTCTATAAATTTGTATGAATGAATTTATAATTATTTCTTTTGCTACCATCGCCTTAAAAGTTATCGGTACACACACATGTGCAAGGGGCGATGGGTAAATTGTCGTCATTTTATATTTTTAAATATGTTGGGCATGTGCGTTTTTTTTTTGTTTTTGATTTTGTCGACTAAAATTAGAGCACTGTGTGTGAGAAAAAGAGCACCATGATGCAATTCATTCTGTCAGAAATTTGGAAATGGTACTGCATGGCATTCGCACCGGAAGCTCCAATTGAACATTTTCAATCTGAGGACAGTCCAGAGGATGCTGTGTCCCTAAAAGATGTACTGAGAGTGATGAAAGTCAAATATCCAGTCAACATCATAGTGTTTGGAGTGATCACTAGAGATGGCAACGTTATGTCTCCATTCACCTTCTCACAGGGCCTGAGACTCAACACGAAGGCCTTCATCAAGTGTCTTAAGGAGGTAGAACTCTCCTGGGTCAAGAGGGTGCCTGCTAGAAGACCCTATATCTGGTAACTAGACTCCATGCCACATAAGCAGGAGAACCCAGTCACAGCTGTCAGACAATTTCTGTGACCACAGCACTCCTTACATCTAGCCACCTAACTTTCCAGAATGCAACTGCTTTGATTATTATGTGTGAAGTGCAGTTCAAGGAGGAACCAACAAAACACCTTGTAACACAAAGATGAACTGAAGGCAAGGGTTATGGCAGAATTCACCAACTTAAACAATGAGACCGCAGCGAAGTGCTGCTGGAGATTCTAAAGTCGTCTGAAGGCCGTGGATGAAGTCAATGGCGATGTTATTGAATAAATTTACTCTTTCGTATTTCAAGATATTTTTGTGCAATTTTGGTAAATATATCTGTTAAAATGAGATGTCAGTGTTATTTTCATTTTTGAGTAGTCGACAATTTATCCATCGCACCAGACAGATAGATAGATAGATAGATAGATAGATAGATAATGAAAAGGATCTGAAAAAAAATCTCCTTTCCTGTATTTTTAGGAGACGCATATTTTATACTGAAAACCTGTCTTTGGAAATTTTAAATGGACTAACTTTTCTACAGATTCGAAGGTCCAATAGACAAAAGGCGCCTGAATAGTTTTATTACCTACTTCTTCACTGATACAGTCAAAGTCAGGCTATGATGGAAACTTTTATCGCAAATATAATCTAGTCACTAAACTGGAGATTGGTGAAATAAAATGAGGAGTCCAGAAAGTTATTTTTCCAATGCTTTACGATAATGTGAGAAAACATAACGAGATTCGACATTTATCGGATAAGGAAACAAGAGGTAAAAGAGTGTTGAAAATACACCACTACTTATGAATTTAGCGTCATCAACACGAATACAGACGCTATCTCCTTGTACACACACACACACATTTGTTTGTGTTGTTTGTGTACACAAATGAATTGGTTACCTGTACTTATTTTTATTAATTATTATTTAATCAAGGCGATAATGCCACTATACTAAAGTGGCTACCGGCAGTGGAAAAGAATGAAAAGAATTTAGAGACGGAAGTAGAAACCCAATCCTAAACAGGAAACAAAGGATAAACCTCTTTTCTTGTTCGAGGAGGAGTGTGATCCGGACATTAGGCGAAACTATCTACTCCTACTGAAGTAAAAGGAAAAATAAATAGCAAATAAAATTTCAGAGTTCAAGCAGAGGCGTTAGACATTAGAAGGAACCAAGATTTAAGGTCTCTTCTCCAGTCCGAAAAATCGGGGAGGAGTGTGAACCAGGCGATAAACGAATCTGTCTACCCCCCTATTGAAAGAATAAAAAATAAAAAAAATAAATAGTAAATATAATTTCAGAATTTAGACGGAGACGTTAGAGGTTTATTTTTTTCTCTTGCTTAATGAATTTGAACTTATTTAGATTTTAAAATTATAAAAATCCAATATTCAAAATCATTTAAGAAACCTGAGAATCTGTTAATATTCCCAAGTTCATTGACATTATACTCAATATAAACGAACTTTCTCTTTTGTCGCCGTCACCTTCTTATTGCCGAAGAAAAACAGAAACAAAAAGAAATGCTTGATCTTTTATTTGCTATATCGTTTCAGGGCGTGGGCGATTAATTCTTTTCAAAACTTCTTATCTGTTTCTTAGCAAAGTTTGACTTTTTATTATACTTCTCACTTCGCTAAGAACTTATTCATTTGTACAAAGTCGTTCATTAGATGACTCGATGTTTCCCTTTGTCCCTTTAGCTTTCAGTATGTCATATGTGTCAAATGGTTCAAGCCTTCTTTTCCCATTATGTGTTCCAGAAATTTCAATCAAAAATCGAATTAAAAATTAAATGAGTTAATATGATCAATTCATGCTAAAAGTCGAAGTTTATTTTTGGCTGTCCATTCTAATTCTTCTAGGTTTTTCTACGAAAATATAAAGTTAAAAGTTTTAAGATTTGAAGATAAATATTTCATTTTTATTTAGAAAATTAGGATCAGCAAAAAGTAGCGAAGTCGAAAAGAAATCTAAAAATATTCCGAAACTTCTGAGAGACTGAAAATGGTTAGAAGAAACTAGTTTATCTGACTGAAGAAGAAAATTCATTTTTCTTTCAAATTAAGATTTCGAATAAGACGTGAAATCTCATTCAAAATGAACTCGGGGTTGCCGATTTCAACAGGCCTGTCACCATCCTAATAAAACGATTATGTATTATATTACATAATAATTTCATGTAACATTGATTTTATCTCGTAAATTGCATTTTATTGCAACAACTTGATTGCGTGAATAAAAAAAATAATTGTTTCAATGTCAGTATGAGTACCTTTATCGAAGAAGTATTATTATTGGATCCAGGACTTATTTTAAGTCAGCCTGAATTCGGAAACAAAAAAAAAGGTGCATATACTCCCGGTTCTTATACCATAATGAAGCTGTTCTTAAAGAACTCTTTTTCATCTTCATATTTTAAAAATCATATATCAGATGAAAGACTTATTTTATAAATGTTAGTGTTGAATGTTTGGAATGTACTAAAATAATTTGATTAGCATAAATAAAAATGAAATACAAAGAGAAAGAAATGATTTATCATGTCAGGAAGAAATATTTTGAAAAGTAAATAGAAGAAAAATGAATAAGGATTTAAATGAAGAAATATTATTCAAAAAGAAAGGAATGAATGAAGATAGAATAAATGAAAGTTAGAACGAAAGATCAAATTAAAAAATAAAGAACTAAATAGTGCATGTAATAGAAAGGGATACAGAAAATTTTAGCATGGAGAGAAAGAAAGTATAAAGAAAATATCCCCAAAATGGCCGTCTCATGAATTTTTAATGATATTCTCATTTCCAACCCTTTTCGCCTATCATCCAATCGCTACTGCTGCTGCAACAATCTGCCTGGAAATTTACGACATTCGCACATCGTATATTTGAAAAAGCAATTTTTTTTGCCATTTTGAGAAAATTCACTTGTCTAATTAGAATAGAAAACCGCCCATAAATTAATCTGCGCTTTTTTTTTAATTTTTTTGCATTCATAAAAAAATAACGAAAGATATTGTTAAAGAATATTTTAAGAGAAAACTCCAAAAAGAAGGTAAAAATGACCGAAGTGGGTGGCATTGCTTTTAAAGGCTTCCAAATGACTTTCAGACAAAGAAACAAAAAAAAGCTTTCATAGTGTTTATTCCGTTACACTCTCAATTTACACGCGAAGGCGTGTGTATGTCAGTTTTTATCAATTCTTTCAGTGGATCATTTGTCTTAACATTTCCGTAAACTTTCACGCCGACAATTTTTCCAAATTATGAAAACTTTCTAATAAAAGTGAGTTTCTCCTGTATCATCACTAATAATTTGAGAATTTTAATTGCACGTACAGTCCTATTACAAAATTATTTAAAAAGGTGATACAGAATTTTATTGTTAAGAGTATGAACATTTGGACGGGGGAGAGGAAATCATGGTGATATAACAATTCTACAGTATATCCCAGTTCAATAAGTGCAAACATTTGACAACATGAAACTACGTTGTCAAATGTCTGTAGAAGCTTCTTAATATATTTATGTTCATTGTAGTGAAAACGAAAGACCGCCCCACTGCCATGCACGTATAATATCCAAAGAGAAAAATGGCTACACCCTGAGACAATAAGGTCACGCGAGACTTTTTGAGATATACAACGTAGAATCTATATAACACAAAAACAAATTACTTTCTTAGTCTTGACTCGTGACTGCTTAACAGTATCAAAGCCCTCTGCAAGGTAATTCCCCGGAGTTTGATTTGTGGACGAGTCTATTCTTGCGCGAAATCTTGTTACTGCTATCTGTGAGTTCAGTCATTGTTCACGTTTTTTTAAACTCTGTTTTTGTCCTGTGCTACTCTTTTGTCGACCGTATAATCTTTGTTCAGAACTTTTTCGTGTTTGTGTGCTGTAGTGAGGCTACGACCACAATGGCCGAGTCTCCCTAGCCAATTGCTACTCAAGTGGAGACACCGTCTCCAACTCCATTGGATTGGACCTCTAATAGATTTAAAAAAAGAAAGACGCAGCCTACGTCACGAATACACGAACTACATACAGAGCAAGAAATTGTTGACCATTCCGGAAGCCCTAAATACTGTAATATCAAAACCCATTTCCCTGCTGACAACGGATGTAAAAACCCATAAATTGATCGGTGTCAGCAGAGAAGTGATGGAAAAGGCACTAAAATGTCTAAAGACAGCGCCGAAAATTCTGGCAAAAGTGTCTAATGCTATGTCGGAAGTCCTGCTGGCGACGGAGGAGGAGGAGGCGAAGTGATTGTCAGGATTCGGTTGCAGACCGAATACATGGGCACCGGTCGGATGAAGATCACGGTACATGGGATGTACTTGGACATAACTGTGGACCACGTAGGGGTCTTTTTCGCGAACTTCGGTCAAGTCGGGGATGTCGTCGGTGTTCTGAGTAAGGTAGACGGACTACTGGAGAGTTCGGTCCACTGGTAAATCTAAGCAGAAACACTTTTCTCGACATCACAATACTCTAATATGCAGAGGACGAATGATGTACATAATCGTCGAGTGTGGCATCACCGGACACTTGGTGAAAATGTGTCCCGAACGGAACACGGCGCCACAATCAAGTGCATCAAAAGAAGAAGTTGAGGAGAATAAGGCCACCAAGGGCCAAAGGGAGGAGGTCGCCAAGAAAGAGCAAAGACTGCTACCTCTCCTCCGGCTCTACTCTCGACTCTCCGACAATAGGTCACATAAAAGCAGATGCAACAACAACAAGCGAGAGCAGCAACTTCAGCATCAGGAGCAGCAGCATCAAAAAGAGCAGCAGCTTCATCTGGAACAACATCAAACTGAACAGCTGCATCAGGAGGTTGAGGTGGAACAGCAATAACAGCAGCAACTCGAGGAGCTAAGTTTCGACGCACTTATTGAGGTTTAGGAGATGCCCTAACTTTGACCATGCCCGCTAAAAAGGGGGAGGGAGGATGAAGAGGATGAAGAAAAGGAAAAGCCGCATAAGGAAAAAAAAACCTCTGATCGAAGCTGGCCGAAACGGGCCATGGTACAAGCCAAGACAGAATCCGCCCCTGTTTCGTCAGTCATAAAAGAATGAGTAAATTCTATTGTAGTGCCACATTTGTTGCATTGCCTCATGATTGATGAATTGTTTTATCGGGTATTACGCGGAAGTAACTCGAAATGTTCAGAGTTGTGGTGGCATTGACCGATTGGGTAAAACAACTTCTGCAAGTTTGGATAATTTGACATTTGATCAGCTACTAGCGCTCGCTCGAGCAGTTATTAAGGATTCCGTTGAAGATCCTCGAGTAGCAGTATCACATTCGACGCTGTGTGAATCAAAAAAAGATGTGCCTAAAGTACTTGTCTTTTACCTGTGCAATGGCCTTAATCACGTAGCAAAGAACTGTCGACTCCAATATAGGCGTGGAAAGTCTCAAATACGCTGCTACCAACAAACTCGGCCACGTATTGCGTGACTGTCCATGAAACAACAAAGGGGAGAAGACATCAGTGCTGGTCTCTTCCCCAAGCAACGAGCAAATAAGGAGAAGAAGCAAATAATAGAATCCATATTAACGGCTTTAATTGCAAGGCAATAGTGGACAACGTCTTTTCCTATACCATTGTGAATAAATCTGCTTGCAGGACTTGGTGAACTTTAAATGGGAAGATCCTAGTGCTGAGGAAATGTTGAGCTTGCTCTGAGTAATATTTTTCTCTTCGGTGTTGAGGTTTTGGTGGCTACCTAGAGTTTATTATTAGGTTTCGACCTTTTGCTAGGATTTGACGTCATTAAATTGGGAGAACTACAAATAAAGGAATCTGAAGTATGCTTCTTCCGACACAGCTCTGCGGCCATCACAATTAATAAACCGGATGTTACGGTGGCATTCAACCAACATAAGAAAATCTGGATCGCTTCGTGGAAGTGGTCTGTTGCCAAAAGTGTTGCGAAATAAAGTAGCAGAGTATCCGATGCCCGAAGATCTTAGAGAAGAATTTGACCGCGAGTTGTAGACTTGATTGCAAAATGGCTGGTTACTACCGTAATCTGAGGAAGAAATTATTGTGGACACCTTTTTTGTTCTGTGTCTTGTCTTGTGAATTTGTTTGCCACTGACAGTAGAAACTTTTTCAATACATTCCACTGCATCTAAAAACATCAATGAGAACATAGACTTAGATGGTCAAATAGATTTTTCAAGAATTATTCTTTGTTTGAATTTCCTAAAGCAATAAAATAAAACGGCATCAAGTATTTTTAAGTTATTTTGAAATTTTAGTATTTGCTTCATGTTCCATCAAATCAAATTGAGTTAAAGAAAAAAACATTAATTGCAAATACCTCGATCCTTTCCTTCGCTACATATTTTATTTTTCGCTACGGTTTTGAAATTCAAAGTTGTCATTTTCTAGGCTGGTTAGTAACCATGGCGCAAGAGCCCAGCTTGTCGTAGTATTTAAACCATAGGAGAAGAGCTGGATTCATATATTTCCCCAGATTATCTGCGCAAAAGTGAACGTAAAGAAATTCGACTGGAATTCGAACATATCTCCAATTGCTTGACTCTTGTTGCTATCCATTACGCGATTTACACATTCAAATGTCTGTAAAAGGAATATGTTAAAAATATTGTGGAATAAAACTTCCAAAATTATTATTTCACAATTTTCATTCTTTAGATTTTTCCGAAACTATTTTTATGCATCGTTGATGAGTATTTTTGTAAAAGTTGATCTATATAACGGAGCCATACAGATAGATTTCTTTGCTTTCTCATCAATAAGAAATAATTGATTCGTCGTGTTAGGTATATATATATATATTACTAACTCCCTAAAATATTTCTCAGTGTTTCTAGGTTAGAAGTAATAAGAAGGGATAAAATATTTGCTGCTATTTAGCGACGCAAACTGCGTGATTGCCAGTCTTAGGAAAGACTTACAAGCTACCCATAAATAATTGCAGAGATATCTACACCTTATTTATTTCTAAACATACACACGTACGTGTGTGTGTGTGTGTGTGTGTGTGTGTTTATGTACGTGTGTGTGTGTGTGTGTGTGTGTGTGTGTGTGTGTGTGTGTATGTGTGTGTATCATTTCTTCGTGGGAAATAACAAAAATCAACAAAGATTTATGCGCTAAATAAGTATACAATACCCACCACAAAAAAGTATACTGCATTATTTATATACAATTAATATAAAAAAAAATTGCGCCAAGTAAGTGTCATCTTTACAAAAAGAAATATCAGAATAAATATCAGCATTTTTAATCATTTCATCTCAAGCGAGGCAATAAAGCCACTAAGAGGCAAGGGGTTACTTATATGAGAAAAAAAACGATTGACAATGCATTTCAATTTTTGAAGATGAAAGTTGACTCAGAAGCCAGAAGCCGGAAGAGAGTTCCACACACAAGTCGTATGGTAGAATTAACTGTTAGCATAGAATTTACAGTTACATCTCGCCATTTCAACTGTAAGATGATGAAACCTTTCTGTCTATCTAGTACTTAACTTAATTTTAATTCATAAAATATAGGTACCATAGAAGAGAGTTCATTAGAACAATTACCATGAAAGCATTTATAGGTATAGGAAAGTCACAGAGAAGCTACATTACGGCGGTGAGAAAGTGATTGAAGCCGAGATGCCAGGTCAGGACCAATAACATTGCAGATTTTTCTTTATATAAAATTAGAGAAAATATGTAACAAAAAGTATTCAGTAGCCATTCATAAAATAAGTCATCTAATAATACTGATGAACATTGCAAATTCCTTTCTGGCTGATTCTAAACAATTCTAAAAAAAATTCTAATTAATAGTTATTATTATGGGATGATGTTATAGTGTATGAATTGCAGTAGCAACCATAATGCTGAAAATTTGGAGATGCCGCTGTAAGTTTTTACCGTAAAGTTAGATTACAAAACTATTGTTTAAGACTTACTTCATCTTTGTCACATTATACTTCGAATGAACTCTGAAATGTTATTCACTAATTAAATGTCTTCATGTCTAGAGTTAGCTATTATCTCTCCTGCACAGCACCAAGAACTTCACTTATTCTCCTTCTTACTTTTTTCTTAGTTTTTAAAAAGGAAGAAAATCTATTCCACAAAGTATTATGGTCTGTCTGATTCTACATTGGTTTAGGTACTGAATATGTTTTGATCTTTTATAATTTAATTGAAATTAATTATTCATTCTTGGTTATATTTGCCATTGTAAAAATTAAACATATGTGATGTAACTAAAGTAAATGTAGGTAAATAAGGAAAATAATGCAATAAACTATTTTGGTGGCATGACTTGGAGAGTTATTTTCTTTGCTAATTTGACTGAAAAGATTTGTTCAATATTTTATTATATTTTTCAAGTCAGCGTTGCAATACATTTGGATCAAATTGATTATGAAAATGCCCCAAGTTCACATTTCGACCATCGCTAGTCGACATATAATTATAATTATACGCACATACATACACACACATATATACACATATATATAGGTAATAATTTATACATGAAATTATTTACATTTAGAAATATTTATATAATAAATAACATGTATTAACATCTGCGCAAATATTGTGAGAAGATTCATAAAATAAGTTTATATTTATACTTATGTAGATATGTTGTGTACTGACATACGCAATCATGCGTAAGATACTTACTTTCAACTTATATATATACATATATATATATGTGTGTGTGTGTGTGTGTGTGTGTGTGTGTGTGTGTGTGTGTGTTTCTCATTTGATGGAACATATAAGCTGGAAAGTAAAATACAGATTTGTATATTTACATCTGACCTCTGAAGGTTACCAAAAGATGGTCCCAACCAAAGCTAACTGACAAGTAACATATGTTCAACCTATATATAGAAAAATCACATTGCAGCAATATATATATATATATATATATATATATATATATATATATTGTGTGTGTGTGTGTAATTTATTAATCAGAATTACACCAGGAATTGTAAACGTTTAATACGTGTAAACACAGACGTTGTTAAAATAAATATTTATAAACACTCACGGTCTACACACATACATGTTTTTCTATGATGCGGCACAGACATGTATAAAAATGGAATTGAAAAATGTAGTTGGCTTTGCGATTTCAAGTTTCAATTTCTAACTGCTCTTGTCATTTTGTGCTGATGACATCAAAATCAGCTCGTAAACACACACTGAAGAAATTTGATATACGTTGGGATTTCGAACCGAACCATTTATTTAGTCCACGGGGGTAGATTGTTTTAATTCCGCGTGCAACCCAAAAAGTGATTTGACCCAGAGAGTTGTGAGTTCAGTTCATGGACACATCAGGAGGAAAAAAAATACTTGGAGAGTTGAGTTACTAAAGGGAATTAACTAATATTGAGATATCCAAAAAAAAAAGGCATGACACGAGAAATTAGAACAATCTACACCCGTGGATTAAATATAGGGTTTAGTTCGAACTTCTACTGTATATCACCTGAAGAATGTTGGAGCTTACAACGGCTGAAACGTCGTAAATATTGCAATAAAGATGAGGCAAACAGTCCGAACGATGTAAATAGTCTCCACACTGCCTTAAACAAAAGGTTTACTGGATGAGATTTTTAAGAGAAATATTTTATAATTTTCAACCGGCAGTAATGCTAACTATATGCGTGAGTGCAACAAAAAATATCGCACTCAATGTAAAACATGCATCGCAACCAATGCTTAGTGACTTGAACATTTCATTATTGTATGCTTACATGCATCGGTTGCAGGGAAGTTACGCTAGTGAAGTTTTAGGGTGAAGTGCAGCATGCGTATTACGTACCCTCCTACCCCCTTTAAATAAAATCATAAGCATGGCTTTGTGAGAAGGAATGTTACGCGGTTGTAAGATTTTTTTCTTTTTTTTTCTTTTTTTTTTTTTTTGAAGTTTTCTTTCTCCCAAACAGATGTTGATCTGCCTAGGATAAATAGAGATTAATTTGTGGTCACCCACATCACCACCTAAGAGATTCTGTTTGCCACAACAATAAGAAATGTGAAAAATTATCTAGTGACAGCGTTTGCATTGAATCATTCTTTAAAAAAGCGCAATAAATTTACCCGCTTCTTTCATGT